GACTGGCAACTTTAAAGCTTCAAAATGTAGATATGGGAGGAGACCCCGGGGTGGACCGAGAACTCACTGGAGGGATTACATATCACATCTGGCCTGGGAACGCCTTGGGATCCCCCAGGAGGAACCGGAAAATGTTGCTGGGGAGAGGGATGTCTGGAATGCCCTGCTTAACCAGCTGCCACCGCAACCCGACTCAGGATATGCACAAAAAAAAAAAAAAAAAAGGATGGAAAATGAAGATATGTCTGCTTACTGTACGCTCTTAGTAGCATTCCAGCTATTTATGTTGTGACGCCCTTGAAAAGGCATTTCGCGTGGAACAAATTGCAACAGATATCCGCGCAGTGGAGATATTTAAGGTCATCCCATTAGAAACGATTAGACTTCCAATCTATGCGGTGCTGTTAAGTCTCATTTAGCTTTAATAACAACTAAATGAATCTCTGTCTGGGTTAATCTCTGTCACAAAAACAGACGTTGGATGGAGGATTCAAGACAAGAGTGATACAGGAATTTTAATGGACCTCACATAATTAAAAGGAACTGGGAGGGCCGCCGCTATAGCTCAACTGGTTGTACTGGGGCTATAGTCCCGGACACAGCAGTCGTGGGTTCGAATCCTGCTCATGGCCCATTTGCTGCAGGTCCCACCCCCAGTTTCCTGTCTCTCTCTCTACTGTCCTGTCAAAAGAAAGGCAAAAAGGCCAAAAAAAAAAGGAACTGGGAGTAGCACTGTGACATACTAATGCTTCTATACATGTTATAATTGCTAACTGAAGTCATTCATACATTGACTTCCATGATATATCTCATAAGGAAACACATTTGCTTCAAAACAACGCTATAACATTGCTATTACGGTAATATGAAATGCTGTTATTTAACTTTTCCAATGTCAACAAGCCCTGACGGTTATTACAAGTGGTGGTACGGGAGGGTCTTAGACAAACAGATAAGACAAAAACGTCAAGCAACGCAGAGGTAATTTTGATTAAACTGATGTGAAAATACTACTTTCAGGACGCCCCAGAATGATTATTTACCCGGCTCTGTCAAACTGGCTTTAGACATCACAGGCCTTCGATTACATTTGCGCATCCAAATCCCACAAGATTTAATTAGCAACACGTCTGCTCCAAACACACAAGCAAAGTTAAAAATCTGGAGCCGTTTGCTGCAGGTGTTTGAGCCACAAAGTGGTTTTCTTGGAAGAAGGAATTCACTCTAAAATGAATTAACGCTGATTAAAAATCTCTTGATGGACCTTCAATTTCAGAGCTTTGTTGTCGCCCGACTGCAATTTTCAAACAAATACCTGTCTGCAAATCTAATTTAAATATCAGGTGTTCAGCTGTTAAAATCAAAGTGGAGCACTGTTTTTAGTCTCAGCTTTGGAAAAAATATTCAGCTGTCAGACAAACAGAAGTCAGATTTATTTGTCTCTATAAAAACGCATTGCAGCCGCAGTACATGTTACACATGCCATGAATAGCATGATCACTGGACAGGAAGCAGGAAAGTGATTTACATATTAATACATAAAAAAAAAAGACTCCTGGAACGAGCGTTGCACGCCGCAGAGTCATGTGAACGCTTCCTCTTTGGACACAGCAGGACTCGGATCACAACAAAAGAGAAAGTTTCGGTCACACCAGTTATTCAAGGCGCAGCATTCCTTGTGACTGCTTTTGCGTTAGGATCTAATAAACCCCTTGCAGCGAGGGCCATCATCCACGTACTCGTCTACAATGGATTATTTCAAGTAACTATTGAATAATTACAGCCTGACAACACCGCCGAGCCTTATAATAAGAGCTTTTCTTGGATAACAAAACCTGACACGTGCCACTTAAAGAGCAACTTGTACTTTGAATTTTTCACTAAAATGCATTTAAATTTCTTGGTGATGGTTGTTTGGAAAGTTAATAATTTATGTTTTGTGAGATATAAAGGAAAATATTTACCTGAAAAGCAGGCCTTTTGAGCATTGCTCTGAAACATGTTTTTCTCCACAATGGATCGCATTTAATCACGCAAGGAAATCATCTTTACCTCAGGAAACTGTGCAGAAGCTGCTGGTGGTGAGAATCTTTTTTGTTTTTTCCAATTACTTTGCATTTTACAGTTTATTGTATTTTTGAAGGTATCACAATCTCACTGCTTTCGTGCCCGGACCAGTTTTTGTGCAGGTGAGGAACTCCACTGCCGCATCTGTAACAAAAACCTGTTGTGTGCGGTTTATACAGGAGGATTATGTTCCCTGAGATACGATGGAGTTCCGGATGGGATGTCTGAGCCAGGACTGTGCGAGACCGATAGCTGGTGCGCTTCCTTCGGTGCACACAGCTGCTTCAGTTCCATCACGCGGAGCAGCTTTTGGTTCTGGCAGCAACGGTTCCAGAACGGCCAGAGATTCAGCACGACAAAAACACTACCTGCAAATCTTTATTAGATTTACAAGCTTCTGTGATATTGTACTATGTAGTGTCGGTTTGTGTTTGACCGGCGAGATACGACTGATACCAGCTGACCTTCACACATCAGTGTCTGCCAGTTTTAAAGTGGCAACACTCCAGCCTGTATAAAACTGACAATACGACTTTTCTTATATCCTGATAAGTGAGAAAAAGAAACTTTACAGTACTGAGATGTAACACAACATTAACAATGTCAAAACGCCTGCCCTGCTCTACACGGCTCATAATTATAAAGCTGTAGCAAATCATATCAACATACATTTTCAATCTCTTCGGTGCTAAAACTATTGTTATAACCCATATTTCTCACTGTTGAATTGGACTAGCTTGACCACTCTCCAATTTGTGCATTAATAACATGCTAATGAACACAAGATTTCTCAAAATAACTAAAAGTGTAGTTCATATATCATTTCCATCCATCCATCCATCATCTATACACCGCTTAATCCTCATTAGGGTCATGGGGGGCTGGAGTCTATCCCAGCCGACTTAGGGTGAAGGCAGGGGACATCCTGGACAGGTCACCAGTCTATCACAGGGCTACACTTAGAGACAGACAACCAAGCACACTCACATTCACACCTACGGACAATTTACAATCACCAATTAACCTCCCGGTGCCCCCACCAGGGCGCGAACCGGCGATTCTGAGCTGTGATGGAGCTCAGAATCCAACCTGAGGAGAGCCGCTATTCAATTGTAGTTTATAAACAGTGACTCTGTATGTGACAGCTCGCTCATCTGAGTTGATAAAAAAAAAAAAAGCGCACAGTGTGATGTGGCATTACATCCTGACTGCTCCTATCCCCACGTCAGGGAGGATTTATTATTGAAACAATAAATCAGCCACTGCTAATCACCTATTTACATAAATGTAACTAACTTCAGAGATGCCAGTATGGACCCTGTTGCTGTTTGATGCTGCTTGTTTTTAATAAAGTCAGAGGAAAAACTCCCAAAAGACATTTTTATAAAACCTTGATTAGATTAATTATTGGTGAGTCTTAATAATGTGATCAGCTCTATTTTCATCACAGTAAAGTTTTACGTTTATGGACATTTCTTTTTGCAATGAAATGAAATTAAAAAATGAAAAATACTTTATTTATCCCAGAAGGGAAATTCAATTAATAATAAGTAATAATCTAGTAATAGATGTTAAACTGTGGGGGAAAAGGTGTGTTTTGTTTTTGGCAGGTAAACAATTTTTTTGTGATCTTTGTGGGGGGGAAAAATCGTTTCCTTAATCTCTTCACACAACTTAAAGCACCATCGCTTGTGCTCGTCTGTCTGCAGTTCAGACTTGGGCTGAAAGTGAAACAAGAACGTTGCAAGGTCCGACCCGGTGGGACTGCTGTTGCCAGACATGAAACGTTCAAATGCTTCGGATTAATAGAAAGCAAAGAACGGCCACAGACGCTGCAGAACATCCGTAGTTAAATGGCTAAAACATAGCCGTCTGTAGCAAATGACAAAAGGATCCCAGTATTGACAGCGACTGTTTCACATCACATCAGCATCCTTTGAGGAGACAATTTTTGTATTTTTTTTTAAGAGGGCTGCTGTGACCTGGTTCCTGTGGGGCCTGGACTTTTACAAGCATGCACCAGTGGTCCTCCAGAGCTTGTAATGCTGAGGGAATAGTTTCCACTAGTAAAGGCTTCCAGGGAGTCTTAGCAGAGCAGAGGCACGGCCCTGCTGCTGCTGCTGCTGCTGCTGCTGCTGCTGCTCTGCTGTGTTTACACTTCATGCAGACACAAGTTTACACCCAAAGCTGTGGCAGCGGCGGTTCAACCTCAGCACAAACCTCCATCATACAAACACTGCTGCTTTCTCCTCACACACACACACACACTGAACACACACTGAACACCAGAGACCAGACACACACCTCAACCTAACGTTATATTTACAACAAGGCAATTTAAAAAAAAAATAAATTTTATTCTGGCAAACTAATAAAGTTCCTCCAAACGTGTGGCGTACTTCACAACTGAATCCCTTCTCTCACAACATCTGGGAACCGTTTACACGAACCTCACACTTGGAAGGAAAAAACAATATGTATGGCGCTGGGTGCTGCTACACAATCCGCTAAAGCAAAAGAAACACACAAAAAAACTAACAGCAATGACTCTAAGCTGTCTCTTAAACCCGCTTTCCGAACGTGTCATTTTCAAACCATTTAGCGAACTAAACAAAAAAAAAACTTTAAGTCGCGAAGTAACAAAAAGTTGCACAACACGCGACACTTTTGTGTTGTTGTTGTTTTTAAATTCCACTCCAGACAACAATTGCGCAATACTTCCACCTTTCACCTGCTGACTGTAAAATATTGTACAAACTGAAGGAGGAAAGAAAAAGTGAAGTTTAAACAGAGAACAGCGAGTCAGGTTGACTCCGAACACAGCAACTCCCAACAAGGTAAACAAGACTTTTGGTTTCATGCTCGTCCAAACCAACCGATTGTTTTTGTTTGTTGTTGTTTTTTTTTTTATAAAGACAGAAAGGAAACACAACCTGGATTGATGGGTGCAAACTGCTGCTTTTCTCCCCCCGCTTGTCCGGAGAGCATCCGCGGTGCAGGGTTTTAGGACCCGTCGGTACTGGAGGAAATCATTGCAGCTCCGCCATACTGAGGAGTCACGTGTCCGCAGAACTCCCCGGTCCGGTGTTTCCGTAGGGGGCGGGGCCTGAGGGGCGCACCGGTGATTGACAGCCCGGGGCGGGAAATCAACTGATCTCAGGGCATGAATGAACCTTGTCACTTGTGATGGTGTTGGCATTGTGTAAGCAGACAATAGGACGCATAGGTGTGTGTGTGACACTGCTGCTTTTGTTCTCTTCCTCCGAAATCAGCTGCAAGATAGGACACAGTAACCACCGGGGCATTTCTGTGTGTTTCATTACCCATGACATTCATTTGTTGTGTCAGTATGCTGCTGTAAAAACATGTCATTTAAGGCTTAAATCTGTGGTGTTCTTAAGCAACTCAGAGAGAAAGTAAAACACAACCAACTAGTTTTTTTTTTGCTCCCCACAATATATTTATTTAACACATTAACAGCAAAAAAAAACAACAAAACAAAACACAAACATCACAAACAAAAACAGACAACTCAGCTTATTTATACGTACAATATATATACATCTATATCCATAAATAAGTGCATACATACATATATCATTTGCAAAAATAGATAGTGCCATTTTTGTAGCTTTTCAGAAAATTTTTTGTTGTTGTTGTTGTTGTTTGCTTGAGATAATATCTACGGAAGAGGATTAGGGCCACTGAAGAAAAAAATAAAATTCTGAGAAAAAAGTCAGAATTCTGACTTTAATCTCAGAATTCTGACTTTTTTCAGAGATTGAAAAAAAATCTCCAGGAATTATTATTTTTTTTTTTTTTTTAGTGTTCTGGAAAAAAGTCAGAATTCTGACTTTGATCTCAGAATTCTGATTTTTTTTCAGAGATTGAAAAAAAATCTCCAGGAATTTATTTTTTTTTTTTTTTATGTTCTTGGAAAAAGTCAGAATTCTGACTGTTTTCTCAGAATTCTGACTGTTTTCTCAGAATTCAGATTTTTTTCTCAGAATTTTATTTTTTTTTCTTCAGTGGCCCTAATCCTCTTCCGTAAATATAAATCAAACAGAAGTTGAGTGGATTTGACTCGACACAAATAGAGATCATTGAAGTTTGATTCATATTGTCTCAGGTAGATGATGGAAAAGTGGGTTTTCTGAAAGTTTGTGAAGATGGCGTTTTCTGTTTTTTGCAAATGAACTCTTCATTTATAAAGCATTACAGGTCACATTTTTAAAGATCCCCGACATTGAAAATTAGCCTTAGACTGTGATAAAAAAAAAATTTAATAATTCACAAGGGAAATTGTTTTATCAACGTAGCAAGCACACAAAATAAATAGTTATATAAGAATTTTTTTTTTTAAAAAGCAAGTGAGAAAAAACGAATACAATACAAAAATGTCCACATGTACAATTTTACAATTCTTTTTTTTAATTAGGTTGTTTTCTAATCACATACCTTGTTGTACAAAGTGCACACTGCTTCATGCGTACAATTGGGACATACTGCTCTGTCATAATGTTGTGTCTTCCTCATATATCCGTCGCAGTCTGTTGTGTGAAATGAGCTGTCTGTGTGCTCTCTGCAGCTCACGCTTGTTTACATTCATGTAAGACACCATGACATATGCAACGTAGCCGTGCAGAGGATTGTGCATCAGAATGGTCAGGAAAAGTTTGCTGGCTTGCACACTGCAAAATCTGACTGACATTTTGGATTTACTATGTATTGAGACATGTTACATTGTTTTCTGGCATGCTAGATAGTATAGTAGTATGGTTACTGCTATGCACCCTGTGTTTTTTCTTTCTTTTTTTTTGTCCATAAAGATTTAATCTGGTAAAAATCAAGTTGTTTTTTTTATCTTGTTAACAAGTCCATATTCTGTTTATATATATATATATATATATATATATATGCCAAACAACATATCATGAGTGAAAAAGCAGTCAATACTACGGCTGAGCATTTCCGCCTTGAAACTACAGTGCACTGATGACTGTTGCAAAAACACAGATTCAGACTTCCAAAGTTTCATATGTAAACCTAAGAATTCCTGTAGCATCTAACTTTGATGCACAGAGATGAGTTCTGGGGGTTCAAAATAACAACTAGACAGTGACTTTAATGTTACTGTTCATGAAACCCTCAGAAGTCCTCCCAACTAGCAAACTGTCCTCCAAGAGGTATTTTTCAATCATTAATTTGCAACCTACAATACACCCATGGTGGCTGACGATTGTAATCCCCGTGCAGCCTCAGTGTGCCTCACCTTCCTCTGTTTTAGTTGTTGATTTCCAGGAAACCTCTTGCAGACTGACTCTTAGAGAACAGCAGCGGACATGTGTCAGCATGTCGCATTCAATAGCTGGTTTAACACTGTTTGGACGGGTGTATAACAGTAGATTTTCCAGTTGGGAAAAGCGAGGCTTGTACACTTTATGTAACATGTTTGCCATTGGTGGTTTTGTCTCACAGGTGGCGGGTTCGGAAAATGATTATATGCCTCCTGGAAGAGAGCCTTCTTCTTATAAAATCTGATGCCATTTGGATTTAAATATTTTAGGATAACAGTCATAAAAGCGTGATGATGGCACATTTGCTAACCATAATGCCCCCTCAAATGCATCCACTATATATTCATAAACAGATGTCTTTAAGTGTACAAAAGAAGCCAGCTGTAATACTTGAGCGTAGTCGAAACCTTGATTATACTAACTACATCAACACACCAACACCTGCAGACACCACGAATGCGTAGTTGTTGTCGTTATTCTACTTTCTAGTCTGCTTGAAGTTCGTTTGGAGGAACTTACTTCATATTTTCCCAGTAGATCTGTGTGTACGTATTCTGCACATGGACACCGCTGTCCAATTAGCAGAGTTGCGTATAAACACAAATTCAGAGCCAGTGTTATACTTTACGTGTCCCAGAGTATGCAGAAGTCTCCTCGGGTCATCACGACATTAGTTTTAATCATCTCACAAAGTTGAATGATTCATCTTTAGCGATTGTTCTTTTCAGTTTTAAATGCACAGTAAAAAGCAGGTTGTAAAACCATCCATCCATCATCTCTGCACTGCTTTATCCTCACTAGGGTCGTGTGGGGATTGGAGTCTATCCCAGCCGACTCAGGGTGAAGGCAGGGGACACCCTGGACAGGTCACCAGTCTACCACAGGGCTACACATAGAGTCAAACAACCTATTCACACCAATGGACAATTTAGAATCCCCAATTAACCTGAGCATGTTTTTGGACTGTGGGAGGAAGCCTGAGAACCCGGAGAGAACCCACACTGCAGAGGGAGAACATGCAAACTCCACACAGAAAGGTTCCAACCGGGACGCGAACTGGGGATCATCTAACTGTGAGGCGATGGTGCCAACAACCGAGACGCCGTGCAGCCCAGGTTGTAAAGTCATCTTCTCAAATTTTAGTTTTATACTCGGTATTATCAACAACGCTTTTAGCTATGTGAGAAGAAAATGGATTGTTTCCCATCATTTTGTCTTCTTTCACTGGACCTGCATTGAATTATCATTAGGAAAAGTGTTTTATTACTTGATTCCTACAGTGTAATTACACTAAAATCAAGGAATCATTAAAGTGATAGACACTGTTATTAACGTCCTCTGTGATATGTATTGCAAGGAATAATTTCAAAACAGTTTTTTTTGTTTGTTTGTTTGTTTTGCATTTTGGAACATCAGTATTATAACCAGACAGTAACTCTGTCCCTGAAGTCTTTAATTACCAGAATTGGGCTGTAACACATTTCACACTGCTTTAACAGGCAAAGACATCACTAACAAGTAACAGCTTAAAAACAAAGATGACACAACATCAGCAAAAGCCAAAAAAAAAAAAAAAAAAAAAAAAAACTATGCCCAGTGGGGAAACAGGTTTAATTAGGTGGATGAAACAGAAGACGGAGCTGTGAATCATCACCTCATCTCCTTGAAACCCATTCATCTTATCCAAAGTGTTTCGAGCTGATTACGGGAACCGTGCAAAAATAAACAGAATTTTTTTTTTCTTTAACATGAAGGCATCCTCCATTTAAAGGATGTGTAAACTCGTGGAAAGCGAAAGCAAAAGTGAGACGATGGGAAGGCTTGCTAAGGCTTGCCGTATAGCTCATAAAGAAATGTGTTCAACTGCAGCTATGCGGTGACACGCAGCAGTTCACAGTATCTGCACTGATGTAAGTACAGCACAACAGTGGAGTATATTACCTTTAGGCTTGAAAAGACACCTGATGTAGAAGCCTGGAATTATACAAACACAGGCACTCTAGCTTTAAGAGTGTGGGCTCATCTGAAAAGACATAGAACAACTCCAACCTAGCGGAGCTGCCCTCTAAAGAAAAGCACTGACAGCATAATAAGTATCCACTCAGATGGGCCTGTCCACATTGGTGAGTAGAGAAGACTGATTTCAAACATGGATGGGACAACCTCAGCCACACTCTCCACTGACAACATAATGTGTGTTCTCGCAAAGTCGTCCACGGCGGTGCAAAATGAGATATATCCAGAGTTTATCTGCTGTAATGAAAGCAGATATAGTTCATATACTGAGCAATGATGATGATAAACCTTGACATTACCGTCTTAAGGCTCACAGGATTTGTTCAGTGTTTTTTAAGTAGACTGCAGGCCTTTTAGCCTGTTGATGCTGTTCCTGGGTTTTGAAGAAAGCCTCTGTTAATGCTTGTTTCATAACTATCCAACATTCAGTGAATTTGATGGTAGGACACCCGTTGTGGTCAGATGCTTTGTCCATTTCTCAGCCAGATGTCCTGCAGTTTGCTCCTGGTTGCTCACACAGCCGATGTTACATCCACAAAGTTGTGCAGAAGATGCACGCTGACGGTGGGTGCATCTGTTGATTGACCAAGATGTGACGGTGAGGAACCACTGCAGAGACGTGTGCGTGGGAGCTGCTCCAGCTCACCGTCTTTCATCCTCGACTCACGGGTGGAATGCTCTGATTTTTTTCCCAAAGCTCTTTGACTTGACTCTCTTTAGTTTCCTGCTGAGATCCGA